CAATAAATGCTGGAATATTCCCATCAGTCTACAAGTGAAGACGAGCATCAAAGCATCAGGAAGAAGTGAAATCTGCAGAGACAGAGTTTATTGAAGGACAGAGAGAACATGAGAGATCCAGAACCCTGCAGAATGAAACACACTGAAGAACAAACAGGTTGGAGTTTATTCTTCATCCTTCATCAATGAGACTGAGGAACAATAGGAATATAAAGCTTCAAGCAGTTCATCAGATGACATAAGATCACATTTCCACTTTATTGAGCAATGGTGTCAATTGAGCTGTGCGCCAACTAGCATAGTTTCACATGTGACTGATTTGTATTCAGAGTGCAGTGGCAATATAGGCATTTTAAAATAATACTAAAAACGCACATGCTAAAACAAAGTTAAACCTGTTTTACAGTTTCTGTTCATAAGTTGCTTTTCTTTGGTAACTGGGTTGATGAATGCAGCACTATGATAGATTGAGATAATTTTTCCAATTGATGTCACTTCCTGGATGTTGCCAGGAAACACTATTTTGAGTGTATTAACAGTGTTGAGTGAAAAATGTAGGACAGCTAATACATTTTCGTTTTAAAATAAGTTATTAGTCAAATAAATATCCATCTAAGCGACTGCATCAGAACTGTTGCACTATATATAGTTTATTATAGTTAATAAATAGTCTATTGATGTTAATATTATGTTAGATAATTGTGGAATCGATTAAACATTGAATAGTTTTTGCGACAGAAACATTGTAATTGTATTGTTCATGGAAAATATTTTTTAAAAATGCATCAAAATGATCATAACTTTGTGTAGCCTCTACTTTCAGGTTCACTTTTATGACCTTTCACTTCACATTTCTCTCGTTTATTTTTAAAGATATATTTATAATGTATTTGTTGTTCATTTTCATTTCAGACCTGATGGAGAAAACTCGCTCACAAACTGAAAGCATCTCTTTTCAGAAAAGAAGAGAGAAGAAAAGTTTCACCTGCACTCAGTGTGGAAAGAGTTTGATATGTGATAAGAGTATTAAAAGACACATGGGGATCCACACTGGAGAGAAACCGTTCAGATGTGATCAGTGCTGGAAGAGTTTCAGACAATCAGCACACCTTAATAGACACATGATTATCCACACTGGAGAGAGACTGCACGAATAAGATCAGTGCGGACAGAGTTTTGCGTGCAGACAGAGTCTCAAGGTTCACATGAGGATTCACACTGGAGAAAAAACATTCACTTGTGATCAGTGCGGGAAGAGTTTTAAAAAATCATCACACCTTAAGTGCCACATGAAACGTCCACACTGGAGAGAAACTGCACAAATGTGACCAATGCGAAAAAACATTTTCGTGGGCTTCATCCCTGAAGAATCACCTGAAAGTTCATTCGAAGGAGAAACCATATTCATGTTCTCTATGTGGAAATAGTTTTTCACTGCTGAAATTGTTAAAAGTGCATCAGAAGATACACACTGGCGTGAGAGATCATGTGTGCTTTGACTGTGGGAAAAGTTTTATTAGATCTCAACATCTGAAACAGCACCGGAGGATCCACACTGGAGAGAAACCTTACAAGTGTTCACACTGTGACAAGAGATTCATTCAGTCATCACAACTGAAATCACATGAGAGGATACACACTGCAGAGAAACCTTGCAAGTGTTCACACTGTGACAAGAGATTCATTCAGTCATCACAACTGAAATCACATGAGAGGATACACACTGCAGAGAAACCTTACAAGTGTTCACACTGCGATGAGAGATTCAGTCATTCAGCACAACTGAAAACACATGAGAGGATCCACACTGGAGAGAAAGCGTGTCAATCACAATACGCAGATCATCTTCAGATGATCCACACCAAACTTGACACAATAATGCATTGAGCAATAAAATCTCTTCTGTATAAATCAGTCCTAATCAGCCGTAACAAACAGCAGGAAAAAGAAGCATCATCTTTGGTTTTCACTATGAAAGGCTTCATCTTAAAGACCAGCAACAACTCAGCTCAAAGATGTTGATGCTTTTTACTGTTAAATTTTCTAGAATTTTTTTAGTTTTTTCTTGTTCACGATTCTGAAGAAGAGACTGTAACCCTTTTAAGAAAAACTGAAATCTAATTTTTCCTTTGGTATCTTGTCTTTTGCAGTTTGTACTTTGGTCTTAACACCTTTAACCCTGTTAATTATTATTCTCAGGATAGGTAAAGTAAGTCGAGTCTCGCCTAAATTATAAGCATTCTTATTGTATTATAAGTCAGAGGACTCCTTTGTGGTTTGTTCTTATTCAGAGTCTTAAAACAGTATAAATCAAAGCCTTGGTTGTCAGTTTTTGTAATGGATTCAATTTCTTTAAATTTGTTGCATTTCTTTTTATAATAAACAAAATGTAAAGGCATGAGTTGTCTCTGTAAAGTTGCTTTGCAAACAAACAGCAGGAAAAAGAAGCATCATCTTTGGTTTTCACTATGAAAGGCTTCATCTTAAAGACCAGCAACAACTCAGCTCCAAGATGTTGATGCTTTTTACTGTTAAATTTTCTAGAATTTTTTTAGTTTTTTCTTGTTCACGATTCTGAAGAAGAGACTGTAACCCTTTTAAGAAAAACTGAAATCTAATTTTTCCTTTGGTATCTTGTCTTTTGCAGTTTGTACTTTGGTCTTAACACCTTTAACCCTGTTAATTATTATTCTCAGGATAGGTAAAGTAAGTCGAGTCTCGCCTAAATTATAAGCATTCTTATTGTATTATAAGTCAGAGGACTCCTTTGTGGTTTGTTCTTATTCAGAGTCTTAAAACAGTATAAATCAAAGCCTTGGTTGTCAGTTTTTGTAATGGATTCAATTTTTAGTTTCTCGTAATAAAGATAAACTTTCTCGTAATAATGACTTTCTTGTTATAATGACTTAGTTTCTCGTAATAAAGATAAACTTTCTCGTAATAATGCCTTAGTTTCTCATTATAGTGAGAAACTTTCTCGTAATAATGCCTTAGTTTCTCATTATAGTGAGAAACTTTCTCGTAATAATGCCTTAGTTTCTCATTATAGTGAGAAACTTTCTCGTAATAATGCCTTAGTTTCTCATTATAGTGAGAAACTTTCTCGTAATAATGCCTTAGTTTCTCATTATAGTGAGAAACTTTCTCGTAATAATGCCTTAGTTTCTCATTATAGTGAGAAACTTTCTCGTAATAATGCCTTAGTTTCTCATTATAGTGAGAAACTTTCTCGTAATAATGCCTTAGTTTCTCATTATATTGAGAAACTTTTTCGTAACAATGACTTAGTTTCTCGTAATAATGAGAAACTTTCTCGTGATAATGACTTAGTTTCTCGTTATATTGAGAAACTTTTTCGTAACAATGACTTAGTTTCTCGTAATAATGAGAAACTTTCTCGTGATAATGACTTAGTTTCTCGTTATATTGAGAAACTTTCTCGTAATAATGACTTAGTTTCTCGTAATAATGACTTAGTTTCTCGTTATGTTGAGATAGTTTCTCGTTATAATGACTTAGTTTCTCATTATATTGAGAAACATTCTCATAATAATGATTTAGTATCTCGTTATGTTGAGAAGCTTTCTCGTAATAATGACTTAGTTTCTCGTAATAATGAGAAACTTTCTCGTTTTAATGACTTAGTTTCTCGTATTAATTACTTAGTTTATCGTTATATTGAGAAACTTTCTCGTAATAATGACTTAGTTTCTCGTAATAATGA